TCCCGCTGTCCGCCCAAAAGGCCTGGGAGCCGTGCGGGCTCGAGGGAGGCAGCGCCCTGTGGCCCTGCCGCGCGAGGTGACCACGAGAGGACCAGGCGCCACGTGGTGAGGAACATGCTTGCACTCACGTGGATCCTCCTCCTCCTCCTCCTCCTCCTCCTCCTCCTCTTTCTCCTCCTCCTCCTCCTCCTTCTCCTGCTCCTGCTCCTCCTCCTCCTCCTCCATGCGATCGAGAGAGTCGCCAAGTGAGCCGGGAGCAACCCGCGAGCCGGCCTGCGACAGGCAAGCTCATGAGGGGAGCCGTGGCCCGATAGAGAGAGAAAGAGAGAGAGAGAGAGAGAGAGCGAGAGCGTATCACGGCGGCGGCCCCCTCGGCTCGCTATGCCTCGCAGGCTGATCTCGTGCCGCTCTGCTCCGTGTGACGAGAAGCTGGTGAGCGTTTTCTTATTCGGCGTTTCGACATTGGGCGGAAAAGGGGGGGTAGGGGAGGGGGGGTCTGGCTTAGGACCTCTGCTCAGTGCGACTGTCTGCCAACCGTGCGTCCTGTGGGGGAGGGGCCCCGCCTGCTTGAGACAGGCGCCCAAAACAGCCAAGATCTACTCCAGGGGGGTGGGTCAGGGGGGTGCGATGGCCCGCGCCGATTGGCAACACAAGGAATACAGTGGAGGCCTGTCCAACAGAAACCTTCCACAAGAAACCCAACTCTGGGACCCCAGGGCGTCCCTTGATTTTTCCTGGCCTTCCTTGGTTGGGTATTCGTTTTGAAGAAAGCACTGTGGTCGCGTCCTCCTCCTCGTCCTTCTTCTCCTTCCTCTCCCGCCTCCCGTCTCCCGCTTCCCTCTTGTCTGCTCTTGCCTTGTGCGGATCTCGCCATCCCTGGGGGGGCCTTGTGTGCATCCTGGCTGCGGTACCTCTTGTGTGAGCATCTTGCCACGATCTGTGACACTGTCGCCACTTTCGAGGGCTGCTGGTGGGTCCAGCGGGCTGAGGCACCGCGGGGACCTGAGCGAAACCTCGCCGTCCCTGGGGGGCTGCGATCTGCGACACCGTCGCCACTTTCGAGGGCTGCTGGTGGGTCCAGCGGAGCGAGGCACCGCGGGGACCTGAGCGAGACCTCGCCTTCCCTGGGGGGCTGCGATCTGCGACACTGTCGCCACTTTCGAGGGCTGCTCGTGGGTCCAACGGAATGAGGCACCGCGGGGACCTGTCCCTGGGGGGCTACGATCTGCGACGCTGTCGCCACTTTCGAAGGCTGCTGATGGGTCCAGCGGAGCTGAGGCACCGCGGGGACCAGAGCGAGACCTCACCGTCCCTGGGGGGCTGCGATCTGCGACACTGTCGCCACTTTCGAGGGCAGCTCATGGTTCCAGCGAAATGAGGCACCGCGGGGACCTGAGCGAGACCTTGCCGTCCCTGGGGGGGGGGGTACGATCTGCGACACTGTCGCCACCTTCGAAGGCTGCTGGCGGGCCCAGCGGAGTGGGGCACCGCGGGGACCTGAGCGAGACCTCGCCGTCCCTGGGGGGCTGCGATCTGCGACACTGTCGCCACTTTCGAAGGCTGCTGGTGGGTCCAGCGGCGTGAGGCACCGCGGGGACCTGAGCGAGACCTCGCCGTCCCTTGGGGGGGGGGGGGGGCTCCATCTGCGTCACTCCGCCACTTTTCGGGGGGGGTCATGTGGTGGGTTCCTGCGGGCGTTGAAGCACCGCGGGGATGAACGAGACCTCGCACGTCCTGGGGGGGGGGGGCTGCGATCTGCGACGCTGTCGCCACTTTCGAAGGCTGCTGGTGGGTCCAGCGGAGCGAGGCACCGCGGGGACCTGAGCGTGACCTCGCCGTCCCTTGGTGGGGGCTCCGATCTGCGTCACTGCCGCCACTTTCGAGGGCTGCTCGTGGGTCCAGCGGGCTGCGGCACTGCGGGGACCTGGGCGAGAGCTCGCCGTCCCTGGGGGGGGGGCTTGTGTGCATCCTGGCTGCTGTACTTCTTGTGTGTGCCCTCTGCCCAGGGGCTGCGATCTGTGACGCTGTCGCCACTTTCGAAAGCTGCTGGTGGGTCCTGCGGGGTGAGGCACCGCGGGGACCTGAGCGAGACCTCGCCGTCCCTGGGGCCACGTTCGGAGGCTGCTAGTGGGTCCAGCGGGGACCTGAGCGAGACCTCGCCGCCCCTGGGGGTGCGATCTGCGACACGGTCGACACTTTCGAGGGCTGCTGGTGGGTCATGCGGGCGGGGGCACCGCGGGGGCCTGCACGAGACCTCGCCGTCCGTGGGGAGGTTGCGATCTGCGACGCTGTCGCCTTTTTCCGAGGGCTGCTGGTGGGTCCAGCGGCGCGAGGCACCGCGGGGACCTGCGCGAGACCTCGCCGTCCATGGGGGGCTGCGATGTGCGACACGGTCGCCACTTTCGAGGGCTGCTCGTGGGTCCAGCGGGCTGCGGTACTGCGGGGACCTGAGCGAGACCTCGCCGTCCCTGGGGGGGGGGGGCTGGCGATCTGCGGCGAAATGTCGCCACTCGAAGGCTGCTCACGGGTCCAGCGGACTGAGCACCGCGGGGGGACCTGAGCGAGACTCGCCGTTCCTGGGGGGGGGGGGGGCGGGGCTGCGATCTGGGACACTGTCGCCACTTTCGGGGGCTGCTCGTGGTCAGCGGGGTGAACGGCCCGCGGGGGCCTGTCTGAGCGAGGACCTCGCCGTCCCTGGGGGGGGGGTGGGGGTTGCGGCCTGGGGACACTGTCACCACTTTCGAGGGTTGCTGGTGGGTCCTGCGGAGTGAGGCGCCGCGGGGGCCTGAGGGAGACCTCGCCGTCCCTGGGGGGGCTACGATCTGCGACGCTGTCGCCACTTTCGAAGGCTGCTGGTGGGTCCAACGGAGTGGGGCACCGCGGGGACTTGAGCGAGACCTCGCCGTCCCTGGGGGGCTGCGATCTGCGACACGGTCGCCACTTTCGAGGGTTGCTGGTGGGTCCTGCGGGGTGAGGCACCGCGGGAACCTGAGCGTGACCTCGCCGTCCCTGGGGGGCTGCGATCTGCGACGCTGTCGCCACTTTCGAGGGCTGCTCGTGGGTCCAGCGGAGTGAGGCACCGCGGGAACCTGAGCGAGACCTCGCCGTCCCTGGGGGGGGGGGCGGGGGGGGGCTACGATCTGCGGCGCTGTCGCCACTTTCAATGGCTGCTGGTGGGTCCTGCGGGGTGAAGCACCGCGGGGACCTGAACGAGACCTCGCCGTCCCTGGGGGGGGGGGGTGCGATTTGCGACGCCCTCGCAACTTTTGGGGGCTGCTGCTGGGTCCAACGGGCTGGGGCACCGCGGGGACCTGAGCGAAACCTCACCGTCCTTGGGGGGCTGCGATCTGCGACACTGTCGCCACTTTCGATGGCTTCTTGTGGGTCCAGCGGAGTGAGGCACCGCGGGGACCTGAGCGAGATCTCGCCGTCTCTTGGGGGTTCTGGAAAGCTGCTGTGGGATACGTTAGGCGCAACGGGCGCATGGCACAACCAACGGGGGTGATGTGTGAAACAGGCCATCTGCCAGGCGATGGCCATAACGTTGCGCATACACATATCCTGCGGGGGCTCGCAAGAGCTGCCGCGGAATACGTTGGGTGCAACGGGCGCATGGCACCGCCGACGGGGGTGATTTGTTATTACGTAGCCCTTGTATCTTGATCGGGGGCCTGCGAGCCTTCCGATTGCTGCTCGCAAAATCACATGCGTCCATGTTACGTCATCGCCCCCGTTGTAGCAATACAGATGTCCTTGTGCCCCGCATTGCGCAAGGGTTGGGCACGTCGCCAGGGTAATTGGTGTGGGAGCGTCACGCTTTCCACAGCAAGACCATCGAAACCCAAGAAACCCAGGGCACCTTGGAGGCAAGCAAGGTGTTTCTTGGCATGGGCCCCCCACTGTAAGAGAACGAAGATCACCTGGGGAAAGACCAGGAACGCTGCTGCTTGGGGACGGGGGAACTGTCCACGGCGTGCTGGGCCGAGGCGTGGTGGCCAGGACCCGCGCGCCGCGGCGCGCTGTGCAAGCGCAAGTGCCCAGCACCAGCCCTGCTCCTCCTCTTCCTCCTCCTGCTCCTCCTCCTCCTCCTCCTCCTCCTCGGTCGGTCGGTCGGAAGGCTGTAGGTTCGCAGCCTGCACACGGATGGTGTAGAACAAAAAGGAAAGTCGAAAAAAAGGTGAAACACATGCACGTGCAAAGGTGGAGGGGGGGGGCGCAAGACCCGCAACCCGAGCACCACCTCCGCGCACCCTTACGGGGGCGTCTCTCTGTGCCTGTCCCTGTGTGCCATGTAATCGTAGCCCATGGCATGGGGCATGGGTCCTCCTCCTCCTCCTCCTCCTCCTCCTCCCCCTCCTCCTCCTCCTCCTCCTCCTCCTCCTCCTCCTCCTCCTCCTCCTCCTCCTCCTCCTCCTCCTCCTCCTCCTCCTCCTCCTCCTCCTCCCCCTCCTCCTCCTCCCCCCCTCCCCCCCTCCTCCACTCCCCCTGTCTTGGGCTGGCGCTGGCCCCCCTGTCCTCGCCTGGGCCGCCGCTCCGTGGCCCGGGGCGGCGGGATCCAGCCCCCCAGTCCAGGGAGAGAGCCGAGGATGAGCGGGAGGAGGGCGGGAGGAAGGGAGGACAGGGGGGGGGAAGGAGAGGAGGGGAGGGAGGAGAGGAGGGCGAGGAAAGGAGGAGAGGAGGGAGGATGAGAGGAGGGGGAGGGGGAGGGGGAGAGGGAGGGGGCAAGCTATGTGCGCTCAAGTCATATCTGACGTCCTATCCC